TGTGATGTCATCATTAAAATAAATGAACTTTTGCTCTTGTATGCAGCTTTGGGGAGCAGGTGCAGCTGCTGCATCCCTTCCAGCATCAGTTTAATGACGAGTCTGGGGCTCGGATTCTCAGGCTCTGTCAGTTCCAGCAGAAGAAGACCAGAATAGCACAGGTGGGAATCCTCCTCCAGCTATCTGAATCATCACACAAAAGAACAAATAATTATACTTTAAAAATCTTTTCAATGCTTATATGAGGAAAGTAAGACACAGTAATGCAATATGATAACAGAAAGCTACAGAGAGCCAGTTCATCTAACAATAAATAGAATGGTGCAGAGTTCAGTTCAGTTAAATTCTGTTTTATTTATATAACACCAAATCACAACAACAGTCACCTCAAGCCACTTTATATTGTAAGGTGGACCCTACAATCATACATACAGAAAAAAACTGAACAATCATATGACCCGTATGAACAAGCACTTTGGCAACAGTGGGAAGAAATCTCTGACACAACCAGGCTCAGAGAGAAGTCTGCTGTGGCCGACACGCTGTGGAGGAGAGCCAGAGATGAATAATAACGAATGAACAAATGCAAAGTGCTGTATAAACACATGGAGAGTGAAGAAGACCCCAGCAGCATAACTGAGGAAAGGTTCAGGGTCACCAGGAAAAGTGTGTTTTCTCCTAAGTCCAAAGACATGCATGTTAGGTTAATTTGTTATTCTAAATTGGAAATGGTTGTGAAGTCTTGTAGCCTAACACACTTTAAGTAGTCAGTCTGCCCTTGCACCTCTAAAGCACTCAAATCTAAATGTCAGTCCAGTCCAGCGGTTTATGAGGCAAACTCAAAAGGAAACAAAGGCTGGTTTCTTTAAGAGCAAGAATATAAAATAGATAAGACAGAACTGATTGTACTGTGGAAACTTCTCTGTATATTAGAGTGAGTAGAAGTATTTGAGGGGTTTTTTTTCTGCTTGCCTGCATTTTGGTGTAAATGTCAGAGGAAACTTGTTTAGCAAAGGCTAACGATTTCATTCGGAGCGACATGATCTCAGAGCAGCAGCTCTTCCCATGGGTGTGGTGCTGCTCTAGAACAAGAATCACAAAGTAACATGGCTCTGAATTACAGTCATATACAGCTGGGATGATAGAAATGTAATATTTATTTACAGGCATATAAATATTATGTTTGCATTACATTACTGTTGACTGGTACAAAGTCAGCGACTTGCCTTCAGTGAGCTATTATAATGTGTGCGTGATCATCGGCACGCCCCTGAGCACAGCTCTGAATGTGCTCATACTGTAGCTTCTGCTTAAACATGATGACATGTGCTGAACATGTTGCTGTGCTGCTGCATTCATTCTCTCTCTGTCATTTACAGTTTTTGGAGACCTCAGTTAAAATGTTTCTGGCAGCACGGCAGCAGATTCCAGGATCTATGAACTCAGGTGACTCCTCATTCTGCTCCTCAGCTTACTGGACCTCACACTAGATCAAACACCTGAGAAAACAAAAAGGTTGCAGGCAGTATGCAGATTAGAATATATAATGAACCCTAACAGTCATGGGATTGTCACATGAATGTGACACGTGAAGTGTTTATATTGTACAAGTATGTATACAACCAAATGTGTTAAACGTTTTATAGTTTTGTTCATTTTTTATTATCAATATCCATGCCTAATGCACCTAACAGCCAGCTGCAGTTACTGTGTACAAGCGCTTGAAAACAAAAGTTCTACTGTCCTGCCGAGTAGGTGTGATCCAGTTCACATTTAGGTTCTCTGAGATTCAACCAATTAGAAGAGCAATAGGAAGTAGTTTAGCCACTTAGTTCAGTATTGAGATGCTCTGTTGTGGGCTTAAAGGACTATTACGTGCAGGACTGTGGCCTCTGTGGAGGCCATGAGTGTGCAGCTGTCATAAAATACTCACTGTAGTCCTACATGAGCAGCATTTTTTTAAATAAACATTCTTGAGGTTTTCATGTGGAGCCTCTGATTACACGTGACCAACAATTACCCTCCCCCCCCCTTAAAGCTGAAATTTTGATCATCATTATATTATATTAACCAGTGGTACCCAGAGAAAACTGTAACTTCTACATAAGGATAGTTCAGCTTCTCTGAATGAGTCTCAGGTGGAATTTGTGTCAATGAAGAAGAACGTCTGATAGACAGATGCTGTTTGTTCTCTTTAGACAAAGAGGTGGAGTTTGTCATGGTCATGAACTAAAGAGGAGCCTGTGGCTCGTTCATACTCACCAGATGTCCAGTCTTAAACTAATCTGTGATATCCCTCCATAGAGACAGCCCAGCTGCTTGTGATCGTGTCTGATGGTCGGGGGCTCTTCCTGGAGGGAAAGGAGCGGGTAATGGCCGCTGTGCGTGCAGCACGCAGCGCTGGTATCTTCATCATCTTCATGGTGCTGGACAATCCGAACTCCCGGGTACGAGACCAGAATGTGATTGTTGGGTATTTTCCAAAGTTTAAGTCTCAAATCGTAACTAAACCTCGATACTGTGCTGCAGGATTCCATTCTAGACATCAAGGTGCCCATCTTCAAAGGGCCAGGAGAGCTGCCAGAGATCCACTCCTACATGGATGAGTTTCCCTTTCCCTTCTACGTGATCCTGCGAGACATCAACGCCTTGCCAGCAACACTCAGCGACGCACTCAGGCAGTGGTTTGAACTTGTTACTGTGGCTGAGCAGTAGGCAGATGAGGAGCCATCTTTTTACAGGAAAGAGAGAAATGGGCAGCAGCCACCGCAAAATGCCAGTCTGCTGCTAGCCTGTCAGAGATCAGAGACTGAGCTGTAAATGTGCCTTTATTTTCTTATTATTACTGTAGGTTCTAGTCGAGTTGGATAGCAAGTGTTGCTGTTTTGTCTGCATCAGGGGAATTTGGTGTCTTTTGTCATGTAACAAAGGATTGCTTTAACTTGCACGTCTGAAATTAAATAACAGAAACAAAAATGTGATTTCCATGTGCGTGAAATACCGTAGTCAAGCATCAGTAAATACCTCTGCCCCTGTATGATAGCCCTGTTTTACATTTGTTTGAATGTTTAGTCAGTGTTATGAAGATCAAAGAATTATCTTCACCCTGAGCACAACAGCAGGACTGAGCTTTGTATAATAGAAGCCTTTTTCAAGGCTAAACTGAACAGTAGCATGCTGGAGCTGATATTAAAGGAACTCAAACATGTGCCTTGGAAAGAACAGCACTGCATCTCATGTCACACCTCAAGTAGCAGGTGACAGATCAGGATTTTTACTAGTTTGTTTCAGTCATGTACTGTGAAGCACAGCAGCTGCAGAGTCCGCTTTTTATAAAGGCCTCTGGGAGAACCCATCTTTGTGCTTTAGAAACACTTCAGCTGTGTTCATCTTCCCTTTGTAGTGTGACACAGCTGACTGTCTGTGGAAACATGTTCATGATGTGTACTGAAATGTGTGTTCTTTAATGTGGACATACATGTATACATATTTAACGAGTTAATTGCATCTGTCTATTAAATCATGAGATGAACAAAATCCCACTGTCTGTGACTCACTTGTTTTAAAAGCCACAGAGAGGAGAGCCACCCAAACCTTGAACCTCGTTTTAACAGAGATGCAGCAGTCGAAGAATCCTGAGGTATGGGAGAATTCCACAAATCAAAGATGATGGAAGACTGTTGATTTTATATGTGGAGCAGTTCTTCAAAAAAGAAAAATCCCCAAATATGTTGTTCTAACCTCCTAGGACCTGGCGTCCAAATATGTGGACATCACATTTTGGGTTATTTAGACCAAAATACTCAATGTTGCTCTACAAGGGCCTGATAACCACTTACAAGGACATTATACTGCTACATTTCTATTGAAATTTTAAACGAATATCCTCATATGTGGCTCTCATTTTTCTTAGAAACAAAAATCAGGTAAAACAATAAATCTGGAAGCCGGAGTACCCAGATTTATAAATCTGGTAATTCTTTGTTTTTACATTCCCAATATTCCCAATTAAAAATGCATTCCGTGGAAGAGTTCGGGTCTTAGAAGGTTAAGATTGCTATCACGGCCCACGTCACCCCTACTATATTGACGTGAAGAAGTACAATGCAATTTGGCCCTTGAAGTTACATTTTTCTTTTAGGGAGCTTTGTTTGTTGTTGAGTGCAATATTAAAATAAGTTCTTTAAAAAGCAAAAATTATTTAATATGAAGGCAATATGAGCAGAGAGTACAAACAAGCTGATGGAACAAGTTGTTGGCACATTTCTGGGAAACCTCACAAAAATGGTACAAGCAAAACTGTCAAGAGCATCTCTGCACTGAGTAATGCACACCATCTTTTGCATTACTTTTTGCCTTAAGTACTGTTTAGAAGTCTGGGGAAATACATACTTCAACCTTTATGCAAACTTTATGTAAACTTCAGAAAAGAACAATTGAAATAATTAAGCAGGATTCACAGCCCACACACTAACACTATTTTTGTAGTCAAAAATCTTGAAATCTTAAATTCAAGAACAGTTAATGTGTTAAACAGTTAATCTTAAAATTAATCTTAAAATATAAAGCACACAAATTATGTATAATGATAGTAAAGTAATATGTTGCCAGGAAGTGTATTGACACGGAAGGGGGCGATAATCTAATGACATTTTGTATTTCCATTTATTAAAACTGTGGATGGACCTGTTCAACCATTATTCAGTTAAAAAAAACAAACTGGAACGTGCTTTTGGAAGAACATGAAATTGATGACTAGTAGTATGTGTAATTATTATATATTTCAACATATTGGTCATATTTCATCTGGTCATATTTCAGTTTTTTTCCTCTCTCTGTGGGGCAAGTGGGGGTAATGATAAACATAGTAAATCGATTGTGTGTGTGTGTATTAATTCGTTTGCAACTCCGAAATAAAGGGTCACCATCAAATGCCACAAAAATAAAACTTAGCGCTTTCTGTCGGTACTGGTTCTTGTTATGTCCTCCGCTCCACCAGGGGGCGAGAAACAGTGAGGCGCTATTAGCGTCATTTCAACATCCGCCTGTGAAAGTGCCGAGTAAATATGACCGTTTCACGGTTGCCGTCTGCTGCGCTTTCTTTAAAGCAGGTAAATATATATATATATATATATGATATGAAATATCTACAGCAGTGTTAGGTGTAAAATCTAAAAAAGTTGAGTAGCTAACAGACTAGCTTTATTAGTTCTCTGTACCCTACTACTAGCTAGTCCCAATGTACGCCCGTCACCTCCTAGTAAACATGGTGAAAAAGAACGTCATGTTCTGGCCCAAAATGTTCAAGGTACCCCGGCAAAAAGGAAAGTCGACATTTATGCCTTCTGTTTAGAAACCTTTTCACCTTTTATTTTGAAACTGTTTTTCAGCCGCAGCAAGACATCGTGAAAAAACAACAGTCATTAAAGGTCCAAATCTTTGCTGGGATAGCATACTGTGACATCAGTGGCCTTTTCTGAAGAGTCGTACAAAAATAACCCCAGTTCTTAGTGTTTTGTTTAGTTTTTCCTTCTTGAAGAAAAAGTTATCGAACTTTGGAATAAACACACACAGTATCATACACTGGACAGACCATTAAGTAGGGGTGGGGGGAAAAATCGATACTGTGTAGTATCGTGATATTTTGTTTGCTAATAATGTATCGATATTTTGTTACAAAAAAGGTTTTTGTGCTCTGACTTCAGAGCATGTTGATCAGCTCCTTTTTCTGAGCAAGAATCCTGACATTCCTTCACTGTCCAAATGTGTTTAACTTTTTTTTGGCAGCAATAAACATGACAGTTTATTTATTTTAATTTAAGACATGTTTTATTTTAATTAAGTTTAAAACTTTTTTATTTAATGTAAAATTAT